TACAGTGCAAATTGTTTGTAAACAAGTAAAAGTGAAAGACAAAAGGATAGAAGAGGATAATGGCCCTTTCAAAATTAGGTGAAGAAACCAGCTTAATTCCTTTAACTAATATATAATTGCTAGTTACATAACTAGCAATGTTTCACCTTATGGTTAAGGTATTTATTACTTCATTGTTTTAAGTTAGTTAAGTATCTTTAAATTATAGTCACCTGGCACCACGGGATTACTCAATACGTTAATTTAATTTTGAAACATTTCAGAGCACAATCGCTAACACTAACATCATCAAGTGTTTCACCAGCTGAGTAGAAAATTAGATCAAACATTATCATCTTTCTTTTTTTTTTACGAAACCACAATTTCATTTGTAAGAAATAACTACCATATTGGCAAAAATCATAAGGCCACCAAACGACTGAGTGTCAGAAGTCATAACTGTGCCTTAAATGGTTAACTTAAGAACTATTTATGGCTTTTTCGTGTCGTACGAAACTGTTGTAAGTTATCGTGATGGGTCAGGTCGAAAGTTCGAGGACATGGAGGGAATAGCCGTTCTTTCATTAGAAAATTCTAGAGGAAATAAGAGGCGGAAACTAGATCCTCAGAAAAAAGTAGGAAAGTTACAATTAATAACCCAAATATTTTAGAGGAATAGAAAGGTTATCCAAAACTTTTTAGCCTTTTTTCTCGAGCGTTAGAAATTTCTAGGCAATATTTACTCCTTCGAACAGTTAAGTGTTACAGAAAAAAGCTGTTGGGTGCTCTTGAAAATAATAGATGAATTTGCGAGTCTTGATATTTATCTTTAAGGGACACTATTAATGTATCAACTTTGCGTGTGGCCAGAGCTTAGTCAAATGGTAATAACACCTGTTTCTATAATACCGTACCTTCTCCAGTTCCCACAAATTATCAAGGGGCTTCTAATTTCTCTCTCCCATTATTTAAAAAAAAAAAAAACGAAATGTTGCAAACTGAAGACAAGAAATTAGTAATTCTGACAAGGCAGTCTCATAGAGTTAAGCGTTGACTTATAAAATTTATGTATGTATGCTAACAAGAATTTTTAAATTCGTGTTGTTAGATCAACACGCAACTGCTTGAGGTACCGTGATCATTCACCTACTCTAATAAAGAGTCAAACACTTCGATTCATTCAGTCAGTTTTGCATCAGAAGGCCTTGACTTGCCACATCTTAAAAGCAGGTTGAGACACCCAGCTGGTTTCTTTTTATATATAACGCACTGAGTAAACATTACTGAGCAAAACTACAGTAAAAGAAGAACACTTGATACATTTTTTTTAACTTAAACATTTAGTCAGAGTGTAACTATATATATCACTTACGATTTTACCGAGTTTAAATAAAGTTGTGCGTATATGTATGTATATTTTTTATTATTATTATTGTTACTATTATTATTATTATTATTACATTTTTCATTAAATAGTTGTTTCGTTTTGTGTTCTGTAATCAGTTACAAGAACTGGTTACATTTCGTTCCTTTAGTCGTTATATTTTGGGTTAATGTATACCCTTTGAATTTTGCGTTGGCATTACATTCTGCCTTAATCGCCTTTCTTTAGGAATTAAACTGAACTGTTTTTGTTGCACATATTCTATTGAATGTTACTTTTTCCATGATTCCTGCCCAGAATACCACTTGAATGAAGTTTGATGCGTCTATTTACATTTTCTTTTAAATCGTCGCCGAAAAAAGAGAGAGAATACGAAAGAGTTCTCGCTTCTTTTATCAACAGGCTAGTAGCGTTTCGAGCCCGTGTAAGTTGTCGTAAAGTTAATAATTTGTAGTGTATAAAGTTTATCGCACATTTCTCATTTTATCGCACAATTCTTGTTTTCTGTAGATTTAGGAATCTATAGTTCAATACTTGTAGCCGAAATGGTTAAATGGCTTAATAGGTCTGTCCCAAAAGAAAACAAATGGAGCTTATAGTATTCTTTTGGAGACCGTGAAGCATAATGAAAGGCTAGGATTTACACATGACTTTTCGTCCGGGCCCGATAGAAAGAAAAACATAATACGGCGGACGCAAAAGTTGGCCCGATCGAATGAAATCAAAATCAAATCAGTGAACAGCAATTTTCACGTGTTTTGATCGGCTACACTATCTCGAATATCCTTGCCTATTCACTGTTTTGCGACCGAAGCCAAGATGGCGTCTCGTTTCGAAAAATTTTTGGAAGACGAAATTTGAGCGATACAATATAACAGTCGTACAAACAAATACCGAGAAAGCGACGAAATTCAGCTTGTTGGTGTTTACTAGTAGGTACTAGAAAATTATTTTCTTGCTGCATTTGCAACAAAATCGTAAAAACGCACTTGAAAAAATCGCTGTTACAGTAGTGTTTGTAAATTGTAAACAAACTTCCTACTAAGTGACGTTTTTAATTTACCAAAAAGTTCCTTTTTTTCAAAATCATCCAACTAATTTGGTAAATATTATCCCCCTCAGGCTCGATGAACAGCGCTAGATTTCTCGACGCTTCGCGTCGTGGTATGTATCCAGCCACCACTATTCACCTTCCCTTCGGGGAATAGTTGTATGTTATTATAATTATACCAGAGGTTCCATATTGGAAATGAAATGCGGCCCCATGTAGAAAGATCAAGGGGTTGGAACGGCAGTAAATAATCTATGACGAGACAAAAAGGAGACTATGATGTATGAAATACAATATGGACGATTTTGAAGTTGATTTATGTTTTGTTTGTTTGTTTTTTTTTAAGCTTGTTATTATCTTCAGTTTTTGATGTGTGACTAGAATTCGGAACCTGCTTATTCTTAGAATTAGTTTCAAATACGAAAAAACACAGAGTATAATGCAAGGAATGCCATTCCCAAAGATTCTAATCAATAACAACAAGCATTAATATATCTCAGTAATATATTATCCGTCTGTTTTCAAACTAAAAGCTGTATAATGGAAGGTTGTATATAAAATGCATACTCCAAAATCAGTTTGGGATGTTATTGACAAATACACAAAGCCATATTTAAAAAAAAAACTTTAGAAAGCATCTTCGATTTAGTGAATTGTCACTGAATTGTATATATTCGTTTCTGCTGTGTTCAATCTTTTACTTCATGAGCTAGGTCAATATAAATAAGTGTTTTAAGTGAACAGGAAAACCTTAATTCAGTTTATCCACCTCGGTAAGCAAATCGCTTTTTTTATTACCCTCTTTGCCGGGCCAAATTATAGAATGACCTCAATAGTAATTCAATTTGTTCGCCTCGTTGTCTCCATTCACCAGTCCGGAATATCCCTAAATTTAAGGACAGGGCCAACTGGTCACGCGACACTTTTCAACCAATGAGAAGGCGCGCTTGTGTTTATCAACAAACAAATCAAAACATCGCCCCAGTGATCAAAAATTTTCAAAACAACGGACGGAGTCGGGCAGAATCAGTCATCGTTTCGAGGTTCTCAGGCATATTTTTAAAACTTTTCATGAGTCATACACAATTTTTTTAAGTGGACAGCGTATCGGAAGCCATATTGGAAGTGTCTTGTGAAATATTCAGCACATTTTGTGGCTTATTCTTCTTTTATCTTTTAAACAACGCGATGTATAGGAGAGATTTTGGTCGGCTTTCAAGGTAGGTGAACAAGTATCTATTATTTTTTCGATTCACAGATTTTTTTACGAAGTTCTAGATATTTTTCCTCGATTGTCATATCGATTAACTTTTTTGAATGTGGGGGTGGCAGACAACCTAGAATTTTGGTAGACAATTTTTGAATTCCGAGGTCCAAAACACGTACGTTTTCCACTCCCGGGTTTCTCACAAAAGCCGTGTTATTACTTTTTTTCGCATTAGTACGAGCCTTTGCCTTTTTTTTCAAGGCCAAAACAACTTTATTAGTCTTATGGATATTCGCGTCCAACATCTCGCCTCACTTTGCCGAATTTGCGGGGATGAAATTGAAGATCATAAGCGCAAGGTAGATACTAACCGCCTTGTTTCTGAAATTCACTAATCTGGAAAGATTTAATGTTGTTGGATTCTCCAAATGTTCATTCGCCGTTAAAAAACAATCAAAGAAACAAGGCAAATCTCAATTGTAAATGCTGTATTTCGCTACTCATTGAACATGCACTGATTATCTGGGATAAAATTAAAACATTGCAGGTACTACAGCAAGCAAAGAAAGCACCAGATGCGTGAAGTCAACACGAAACAACACAAAAAAACAAACAAGAAAAATTAATAAATTTGAACTACTTTCTATTCTTGTTATGATGACTGGTTCTTTGATTCTTGTCCTGTAGAAGTTAATAGGTAGTACCAATGCTGTTTTGTACGATCGCAACAAATTTTCACTCTCTCTAAGCCTAAATTTACACGGGACGAGTTTGCTTCTATCAAAAATCTTGCAAGCCATGCCAGTGAAGCCACGACCTCTGCGATCGGTCCGGAATCAGTTCGCATTCCTTGCAATGATTAATGCTCTTATTCTCTCTCATGACATGTTTTCTTTGAAATATTAAATGTGAAACCTAGACGAGTACTGTAAGTTCATCTTTAATTCTGTCCGACTCCGTCCGTTGTTTTGAAAATTTTTGATCACTGGGGCGATGTTTTGATTTGTTTGTTGATAAACACAAGCGCGCCATCTCATTGGTTAAAAAGTGGCGCGTGACCAGTTGGCCCTGTCCTTAAATTTAGGGATATTCCGGACTGTTCACCTGGTTAGAAAAAGTAGTGAACTACAACAGGAAGACTTATTAACAAGGAGGCCTCCATTATAGGTGTCCAGCAACTGATTGATGAGATCAAAAATATTTTGGCGGAGTAACACCCAAATGCAAGAGGTGTATCGCAAGTTCAACCCGTGAAATTTGAAGAGACCACTGGTGAGACAGTGCAAAAAAAACAGCAAGAAATTTTAGTTGTTCGGGAGGTCCATCGATGATTGACTCTGACATACGGAAAGACTTTCTCTGCTCAAAATCGTTTGGAAATGCCTCATTGCAACTGTGCCAGGCTATTGCTGACGTGGCAAAGGTTTTATGCTCTGAAGATGTGAATCCAGATTGTTTGACTGAATTTATTGCCTGCAGGCTAATTCCGCTAGACAAAGGTGACACGAAAGAAAGTAAACCTGGAGTGAGACCAATAGGTGATGGTGAAGTTCTAAGACGCCTAATAGACAAACTGGTAGTAGGGGTTATCAAAGGGGACATAATAACAGCGGCAGAGCCTCTGCAGACTTTCTCAGGACTGAAAGCAGGCATTGAGTAAGCAATACACGCCATGAGGAAAGTTTCTGAAGATGATGACCCTGAAGCTATTCTTTTAGTTGATGCTAAAAATGCATTCAACAATCTTAATAGAAAGGCATTACTGTAGAATATCAAACAGTTGTGTCCACCCTTCTTTCAGTATCTCTTCAATACATACGTACCAAAAGCCTGCTAAGATGGTGATAGCTGACTCTACAAAGCATGACTATATTTTCTCAAATGAAGGCTGCACCCAAGGTGACGTAACTGCTATGGCCCTATATGACTTGGGCATCAGACCCCTTATTGATAACCTCGGGGAGGTGGTTGATCATGACAAGTGTAAGCAGTCATGGTATGCGGATGACAGTTCAGCGGGGGGACAACTGACAGAAATGAAAACATGGTGGGATCAACTTTGTACAGTGGGTCCAAAATATGGATACTGTCCTCAAGAAAGTAAATCCATCTTGATTGTAAAGGAGAGGTTTCAAGCGAAAGCCAAAGCGATATTCGGGAAGAGTGGGATTAAAATATCCACAATATGATAGCAGTGATCGCTAGCGAAAGGTTTAAAGATGGGTATGTTTCGAAGAAAGTAGAGAAATGGGATCAAGATATTGAACATAACGAGCCGCACCGTCTTAGCAACCAAAAAAATTTTGTTTATCTAGCTGAGATAGGGGACTAAGAGAAGAAGCTTGTAACATTCACTCTTCCATTTATCTCTGATCATATTTCGCATCTAATACGATAGAGGCGTCAATTTTCGCGCCATCATGTCATCATTGTAGGGCGAGAAATTTAATTAAAAGCGCGGCATTCAACACATGTACGGCTCAGGTTTCGGCTAAAATTATTCAGTGCCGTCAAAGAAAAAAACATATTATTAAGGTCTGCGAATAAAGTCGATCACATTGCTAACACAGACAAAAACGCTTAAATATCTCCTACAAAATGAACGGCTGAGTTTGTTTTTTCTACGGGTCAAACTGCGACTATATATCCCAGAAGCGCTCAGGCATAATAATATGCCAGGACTTCTACCTGGATGAACCAGAAAGGATATAGAACAACTGCCAATTTTTTTTTTTTTTTTTTTTTACGGCTACGGGTTGAAATGCTAAACGTGTTATATATCCTAGAAGCGCTCAGGCATAAT